GAGCTCCTTCTGAATGAGCGCAGTTGTACACAATACATATGAAGAGGCCCTCCCTGAGATGCTCCAAACACTGCAATTGGATGTCAAATAGCTATCCTGAATGCTTTGGTTGTCACCGGGGTTGAGTGCCTTTCTTTTATGATGAAAATGGCGAATGATGTATTGATTGTATGAAGCTAAATTCTAGTATTTCGGAGCAACTGAACGGATATTTAGCTGAACTTCCAATTTGGGAGCGCTCTACGCTTGAAAATACTATCTCACGTGTGGGACTGGAACCCTCCGCTCCCCACGCCCAGCAGTTTCTCCATTTTACTGATTTTTTTTTAAAACGAGAACAATTTCCTTCAAATCTTCCATCTGAGGAAGAAACGTTTCGAAGCGAAAAAAAAGAAACTCCGGTACTTGTTTAATTGTTTTCTACGAAAACCTTTTTTTTTAGTTCCTCAACAAAAAAAAAAAAAAAACCGAAAACCTTTTGGGACATATGCGGAAAGCCATCTCTGCTAACGGAGGCCTCGGCCCACTTCGCTTGCCAGGCTCTCTGGTCCAGCAATTTTTCACCGAGCCCAGCCACATGCGCAACCTCCGTTTCGCTGCAGGCCTGCAGCCGAGTCCCACACGCACTGTCAGTACTCAGTAGTCACATAAATCGGGTGTCACTTAAAAAAACATAAATTGAGTGTCAGTCGTAGGATTTTTTTTCTCGGATATAAACTGATTTTTTGAAAGTTTGGTATAAACTGATACATTTTCCTTAGCACTCTTGGCACCACTGGTAGTAGTTGCCTTCGGTAGGACGAAGTGTGTACGTTAGTTTCAGAAAGAAAAACGGTTGTTGGTTGAGTATGACAAATGCAGCCCTATATAGCACATCGTGCAGTGTACTAAATGTCTATAATCGACTGTGACACGAGTTGTTGAACAACTGAACTACATCGAAGACTACCTGAACAGGCTACACAGGAGTTACAGACAGTGGCGGAGGCAGGAATATTTTTAAGGTGTGGCGAAGTTTATAAAGATAAAACATCTAATATGCATCTATCCAATGGCTTGTATTGACATATATACACAACATATACTTGGTCTTTTCAACAGATTTTTATTTTAGGTGTGGCAGCTGCCAGACCCTGGCAGATACCTGGCTCCGCCCATGGTTACTGAAACCTTTAGGGGCCGTTTGGAATGGAGGAAGATCAGAAAAAAATTGAAGGTTTCCATTCCACGGGAAAGGAAAGCAACCAATTCGTTTGGAACAAAGGAATCGGAGAGAAACTTTCCAGAGGAAAGGCAATGTGAGTTGTACTTTTGGAGGAAAGGAAAAATCCACTCCAAGCCAAGGGAATATTTTTCCAACGCTTGCTCCCACATGCATGTGCTAATCAAGCTTATGTTGTTCTTCGTCACGGTAGTACATAGCTATAAGAAAGTTTAAGCTGAGTTAGAATAGGAAATAAAAAAATTATAGATGGAAAATGAAATCTAGCTTCCACTTGAGCAAGCGCCAACCAAAATTTTTGAGCTAATTCAGGAATCGAACTTTTGTTCTCGTTAATTTGAATGCAATAAGTTTTTGTTAACCTATATGTCTCATGATTGTTATGTTACATATTCCTGCAATCCAAACAGTTTATAGTTCACATTGCTGTGTTTTGAAATCCTGTAGTTTTTCACTTTTCACTCCACCCTATTCCTACGTTTTTCTCTATTTCTCTATTTTGGATTCTTTGTTTCAGGCCCTTATGCCTGAACTCAGTGGAGGTGTTGACAGCAAAAATGTACTGACGAGAATGAACTCCACCGTTATCAAACAAAATGGTAGTGGCATGTAGCCTACTAGAATCCGATGGGATTAGCACATGGGTGAAAATGCTGCCCTTTTAAAAAATGCTGTGCATGTCGATCGAAAACGATATTGTGACACCGCGAACAGAAGCGAAAAACCAGCGAAAAACAGGTAGCGGGGGAGTTTTGTTTTTAATCCCATCGGCGAATGGTGATGGCAATTCCACTGGTCGCCGTCGCCACCGACCACCGCACGTCCGCATGCGCGCGCAGAGGTCAGGCCAGTTTCGCCGGACTCTCTCCTCTGTTCCTGATGATCCGGACGGGGAAACCCGGAAAACCATACCGAACGCGAGGAAGACCGGGCACTCTTCGGCTGTCTGAGAAAAACGGTAGATATTGATGTGATGCTGATTCGTTGTGAGAGATTTCGCTGAGCTTCCGTCCATCGCCTCTGCAGCCAGCCAGGCAGCTATGTCCCCCATTAATGGCTGATAAGGCCCAGTGCCTGTGCCGGAGAAGAAAGAACGATGACATGAAAGAAAGCCGCCTCTCGTTTTGGACAAACTGTTGAAATCCCTTTTGGCGATCCAGGAGGCTGCCAGTGCCGCCGGGAGACCGGCCGTCGTCAGGGGCGGCGCGCGGCGTGGAGACGTCGGGGTCATCCGAGTCACCCGCACCGAAAATTTTGACGGCAACGGCTGGGCAGCCTGGCACTGGCACGGGGCCGGAGAAGCGAAGCGATCGAGAGCTAAACAAACTGCCGACGCGGACGGACCGCGGACGCCAACGCGACGTCAGAGTTGGAAAATGGAAACCGATACGGCACCTACACCGTACCTTTTTCTGCGAGCCCTGGCGACGGCGCCATGCCTTGTTGCTACCTCTGTGCTTCGTAAACAAGCGTACAAGATCACAAAAGAGCCTCCTTTGGGGGGCAAGGCAAGGCAACCGTTTTTAATCGTGGAATCCACAAGCTAGTTACTAGGCTCTAACTAATCAAGTCCTCGCCGAGTAATGATCCACGAGGCACGAGCTAGCCATGTAATGGTTGGGCTCGGTGCCAAAAGTTTGGTAACGACGCACGACAAACGGTCAGGCGATTTTGCAGGTTTTCCTACTAGATTCCTCTTCTTGAAAACCTTTCTAGTAGTGCCTGCCTCGCCTTGGCTGTTTCTTTCTCTCCCCTGCTCTGAAAGCTGCGCGCCTTTGCAGTTGCAACCATGGATGCCATGCCGAGCTGTGTCCGCCGCCGTCCTCGCGTCTTCTCCACGCGCATAATGGTGGTGGAACTTTTTCTGAAGAAACAGGCTATTGGTGGTGGATTAGAGATTTAGAGCAAGCGATTTGTTAGGTAGCCTGGTCCTGGTGCGACGCTGCGCTTGCGCAGGCAGGAGAGGGACGTGCCAGACGCGAACGAGCCACGGCGCGAGAGGCTGACGACATGTTCCAAAAAACAATTCAGATGCGTCGGCGTGCATGCTTCTTGCTTGCTTTGCTCCAGCGTCATCTTCGCCTTTTGTTTTTGTACCCATTTACCAACCTGCATTCTTATTCTCGTGCCAGATTTTAGATTTACGAGGATGGTTCAAATGTCTGACGCTTTTCATCCAAATCATACGGGGAACAAACAACAGGGCGCTGGTTGAACAACAACAACAACTGCTGCTGCTAATCCCTGAAATCCACAGGCACCGACAGATTCATTCGTGCCACCCTTTGAATTAAAAAAAGCAGCACGTCCAGCTTGTCACATGGCCATGACACCGATTCGCGCAGGCCACACAGGCTAGAAAAATCGTACGACGTGGTGATCTCCCCTCCACCAACTCCACATTTTCCAAGTCTGTTAGTACGAATGTCTTCTCTTCGTTCCTCAAAGAAATGGCCAAAGATTATATGATGATATATGGCCCAGAATTATGAAATACAGACATAAACGTACGACGAGGAACAATCTGCTGAAAAACACATGCAGCTAATAGCTAAGCTACGGGTGCATGCCTGGCAAGTGGCAATGGCAAAACAAGCTGCCAAGGTTTCTTCCATGCATTATTGTGGCGCCAATGCAACGCAGTGATCCTCGCGAGAAAAGCAGAGTTTTTGCAGCCCCCACATGCGTGCGTCGCCGGGCAACGATCATGCACCGCTTACTCCTCCCTCCAAGACTCTCCTCTGACCCATCCATCACTCTCTCCCTCTGTTTCTGTTTCTGGCTCCCATTCATTCACTCACTCACTCATCTCGTTGCTTCATCAAATCAAAGGAGAGAAAAAGATGACGCGGATGCACGCACTACTACTACGACGACGACCACCCAAAGATCGTCACAGGGATTTCAGTTACAGATTCATTCACGAACTGGCAGTGGTGTGGTAGCTATAGTTTGGACTCGCAAATAAAGCTAGTAGTTTGATTCCTCTGTTTTCTCGTATAATAACGGAAACGCTATACGTCAACTGTATGATTTATTTGTCACTCTCAACCGAATTTTCCAGCGTTGATCTAACTCCGGCCCGAGAGCTGCCGCCCGATCTACCGCCTGCGTCACGCCGCCCCCGCCCTTCGAGTGTTGGATCTGATCGATCGCATTTTGTCTCGTCTCTGGGTGGACTCGCAGATGCCACAGCACGTGTGCAACGGGGTACGGCGCGCGTGCCGGCCTCCACGCCACGACCTCGTCGGCGATGATGATAAAGCAGCTGCAGCAACTCACGCCGACGCAGCAGCACCACCAGAGATGTGGCAGTACCATATCTCGCAGTACCAGCCGAGGCCGGACGCTACGCCTTCCCCGATGTCGGCGTCGGTGGCGGCAGCGTGGCAAGGCATTTCGAAATTTTGTGAAATTTTGTATTTCTTTTTGAAATTTGTGAAGAATTTGATATATATTTCTTTGATGTCTGGATTTCATAGAAATAATTTGTATTTTTTTGAAAAATTTAATATATATTTGTAATAAGACCGTGTAAATATAGATAGAAGACAATATAAATGTATAGAAAAAATTCAGTTGACAAAAAAGCCAAAACAACTGAATCTCACCTTGACAGATCCAATAATAATAGCATGAGTAAACGACAGATGTACACGTGGATGGACGGGACAGGACACGTACGTACTACGTTCGCGCGCGGGGGCCTCATGCAGCGCGAGAAAGAGGCCGGCCGCCGGCCGGCGGCGGCAGGGATTCCGCCTCCGTCGGGATTGCTTCACAATATGGCGCAGGAGTTGGGGTTCTCCTCCATGCTCATGTTGCGCACGTAGTAGTACTGTGGCGGCGTCGGCGCCGCCGCGTACGGGTGGTGGTACGCCACCGGCGGCGGGGGGCGGTACTGGTTCATGTAGTCCGCGGTGAGCATGTGCATGTACTGCGGCGGCAGCTGGTGCATCCATGGAGGGGCCACCGCGGCGGGCTTCTTCTCCCCTTCCTCCTTCTTGTCGTCCTTCTTGCCGTCCTCCTCCTTGTTGCCCTCGCCGTCCTCCTTCTTTCCCTCGCCGTCCTTCTTGCCGTCGCCTTCCTCCTTCTTCCCGTCGCCTTCCTCCTTCTTGCCTTCGCCGTCCTTCTTCCCGTCCCCTTCCTCCTTCTTGCCGTCGCCGCCACCGTCCTTCTTGTCGTCGCCGCCGCCTTCCTTCTTCTCCTCTTTCTTCTCCTCCTTCTTCTCGGGCTCCTTGGCGGGGCCGATGGAGTCGAGGTGCGCCGCCCAGGACTTGCTGCGCAGCTTGCTCACCACCTGCACCGGGTCCACCGTCCCGATCACCGTCATCTTGTGCGCCGCCATGTCCACCGATATGGCGTCGATGCCTACGACAAGACAACCGTTACTACCACTACTCGATCGTTTGCAAGCAGAGACGCTGTGGATTGTGATACGCACCGACGAGCACGGAGACGGCCTTGAGCGCCTTCTGCTTGTCCTTGTTGTCATGCAAGTCCAGCTTCACCACGATTTTCTGTACACGCATGGTCGACAGCACCAGTTCACACAGTTAGTCATTCGCTTTGCTTTGGCGGCTTAGAACAGATGAGAGGAATGCAATCAATGCACAGAGATGAACGGGACCATGCATGGCCAGCAAGCCTATGTATGTATGCACCGACGAACGGAGAACGACGAACAGGACGGCAAGCTCACCTTCGAGTTCGACATGTCTCGACGCGGAGGGTCAGCGGCCAGGCGGCGGAGAAGAGAAGACGAGGGAGCGCGCGGCCGGCGGCGCTGGATTCGGGAGCAGGGAGGAGTGAGGAGGAGTGGAGGTGCTCACAGTCACAGGAAAGGAAGTTAGGCGAGCGTGTGCCGCGACACGCGAGGACGACGCCGGGCAGCGCGAGAGGCAAAGGGAATTCGGGATTGGGAGGCGCAGGGCGCCACTAAATAGCAGGAGCGCGCGGCTGCGGTGCGGAGGTAGCGTTAGTGCGAAGCGGAGTGAGCAGTGGCCGGCTGTGGTACACAAACAGAGCAGGCTACAAGGACAGACAACCGGACTGGCTAGTGCGAGTGGCGGCGGGTGGCAGGTCTCCACCCAGCTGCGACACACACACTGCCTGGTGTGTGTGGTATTCCGTGCTCCTGTATCGCAGTATTAGGCTAGCAGCTCGGGGTGTTCTCGATCGGCAGCTCGGGCCTGGACCCCGGCGCCGGGCACCGGCAATGCCTGCCTGCCTTCTCGTTGGCAGTTGCTCTGTGACCTGACCTGGGATCTGGCGCGGCACCAAAAGCGGCGAGCAGTCCACGTCCGTCAAACGCGGCCGTGCTGTGCCTGCCCCTGCCGTCTGCCGTTGCCGGTTGCCGTGCCGCCCCACCGCACCAATCATTTCCGCTTCATTTCCGCCTCGCCGCCTCGGCCCCATGCCACGCCAATGCCATGCGCCGTCTCGCTCGCTCATCATTTTGTCCCTGCTCGTCTCGTCTAGCCACCTGCTCCAGACCCTCATGGCCTCGTCCGTCCATCCCAGCGCATGCAGGCTGCTACTGCTGGTGGTTGGGCACTTCGGCGTCCTCCCCATTCTCGGTCTGGTGAGGCCTCTTCTTTTTTCAGAGAAACCTACAGGCTGCGGGCTGCCGGCGCCTGAACTGTCACGTTGGCGTCAGCTAGCGTGCGTGCGAATGACCCGTCCTGCTTCGAGAGCCCCTTTTGCCGTGGATGCGCGCTGCCTGCCGTTGGTATCTAGCAGGGGTACACGGCGCAGGGTTCTGCTTGCCGGATGCTTGTGCCAAGGATGCTTCTTGAGACCAGAATCTGGGCCCGCTCCGCTACAGCGGAGCAAGATTTGCGAAATCTGCCGCCAATGCGGATGCTTCGAACGGTTCCCGTTGTTCTGGGCAGGCTCCTCCTATTCCCGTTCCTGGGGGCCTCTGCTCTGCCACAGGCCTCACTGCCAAACTTACAGGCGGCAACTCGGCACACCCTTGATTTACCTTCATCAAGACGTCACGCTGCATCTGTTACGAGTTGTATTCTACCACGCGAGATGAGGAAAAGCAACGTCCTGAAATTCCATCGCCTGTTCGTGTCACTGTCATTTGCTAGATGATCAACAGGTACGTGTCACCTCTCTTGGTTTCTTTAGTAGTTTCGACTGCTAATAATTGGACGTAAAATTCAGAATCATCAGGCCGTCGCGATATCATTGATGAACCGTGGCGAACTTAGGTTTGTGTTGCCTCGTCGCCATCGGTAAAAGCCATATTGGAATCTGGAGGAGCAGAGGCCAATTTGAACCGGAGTTGTAGGGCCATGCATGCATATATTATGTAATTATTTATGCATGAAAAGGGTGTTCGTCTTTTCCTTTCCATGACAGAATTTTTGATGAATTTGATGGCTTTATCTTATTCATAGATAAATCTCATTTTCTCGCACCTAAAAGACCCCAAGCAAGCAAGTTGTCATGTTGGACGCAGACCAGACGAATCAGGAGGTGGCGTGCAACTTTGCAAGCTAACGTAAGTACGCACGCCGCCGATTTTACCAACAGCTATCCACCACCAGTTTCTTCAGCACGTACAACTCCATTCTTCTATTGGATTGGATTAGACCGTCAAATACATTAGAATAATCTATAGAAAAAAATCATTCTTAATGTCCAAGTGTCAAACTTTATTCGCAACCTGATGACCGGTTAAAGGCATGCATGCATCGTACCCTGACTCTGAAGATTGGTGCTCGGTGAACTCCAAAAGTTAACTGAACTTTGAAGAGTTGAAGTTCCGTTGTGATCATATATCTAGGAATTCTGAAAAGTTGGTATATCTTTCCTGCGTCCTTAAGGGAAAGACATTCGTGCAAAATGAGCTGCCTATTTCTCCTTTTTCTTTGCTGGATCCTCCTGGTGTGTCCTTGGTGCGCCACCATGCGTAGCTAGCATCTGGACGTTTGGACGCTAGCCCCGTCCGGACGCCCGCGCCAACCCTGCCGCGTGGTTCGTCCTCACTGCTGCGCCTCACCTTTTCATGCGTGCTTGTCCCAGCGTCGAACGTCCACCTGCACATCCTGGTCCCTCAGTCTCGCATGAGCCAACACAACGTCCTCTCTCTACAGCATGCGGCTCGAGGAGTGGTAGCAATTTTTTCCCAGCATGCACAGTTCCCATGCGAATGCGGTCCACTCATGAAGAAATGGAACGACGCATGTCCCCACCTGCAACTATTGCGCCTGTACGTCTGCCCTCGCATGCCGCATGCAACTGCTGCGCCTGCACGCTATGCACATACGCATGCAGCTACGCCTTGATGCGCATGCAGGTGGGGACCGCACAACATGCCCATTGATGCGCCACACGCTAGCTTCGCTTGCCTTGCACGTGGGGACGACTATGCCTACGGGACCGCATCTGCATGCGCCCACTTCCTACATCTGCTAATGTTGAAATATGAAAGCACTTCTGCAACATACGTCTGAAATAGGTGAAATATTTATAAATATCGTTTGCAACATATGTGTATATCAACTGCAACATCCAGGTAAACACACTTACAACATACGTCTGAAATAGATAAAACATTTTGAACACACACTTGCATAATATGTCTGAAACATATGCAATATTCAGATAAAACACTTGCAAGTTGCAACGTAGGTCTGAAACAGATGAAATATTTGGAACATACACTTGCAACATACATATATAGCCACTGTATAGCCATATGCAATATCCAAATAAAACACTTGCAACATATGCTTGAAATAACTGAAATATTTGAAACACACACTTGCAACATACGTAGTATAGCCATTACAACATATACAACACCATATCTACTTTTACAACATAAATCTAAAACACATGAAATATATGGTTGGAATATGTGCTCATCTACTTGCTGCCGCCTAATGGAAGCTAGTTGATGTGGCAGACAAAGAAGCCATGTGAGGCATGGTGGCGCGAGGACGGACGGCTTGAGGTGGGTCCGATGCGCATCGTGCCGTGCAGTGCAGCAGTGTGGCGCACAACAACGCAGAGACAAGCGGCGCGAGGGGGCGCGATGATGTGAGGTGGGTCCGGTGTGACCGTGCGAGGCACAAGGTGTAGGGGCACACGTCGCGAGATGGGTCCGTCTGGATGGAGGACGTCCTGATAGGAGCATTAGCGATATTTTCTGGGCATACACAAAAAAAAATTCTAGCTAGGAACCCCATTCACACGGTTTCCATGCAGTCTAAATATATTCTTTCCAAACACAACACTCGATACTTTTTTTTAATATAAATGCATGGACGTATGGCCAATTCGTAAGATTGATTCTTGACTTATTAACTTGAGTGTCGAAGCTCGATCCTTAGCTCTAAGTTCTATCCACAAAGTAGGCCCGATCATGCTAATGCTAAGAAAAAAAATGCTGCTCTTTGTTATCTTTAATTTGGCCATTTCTAACCTGTGTACTCCAAGAAAACTAAAGTGTCGCCGTACTATTAGTACAATAATTCCATGAAAATTTGGGCCCAAGCTAGCAAGCTCTCGTCCGATCGGTGTACACACGCAAGATAATACGTACGTCACACTCCAATTTTGAAGAAAGTTAGTATAAGTTATCGCGGGCGCCTGCTCTTTTCTTCTGATTATCCGCAGCAGTTCCGTTTCGAACCAGAAACCCATCCTCTTTTTTTGTGCCGTCACCATGTCCATGGGCACAACACAAAGTCTCTTTTCACAAGCAGATAGGATACGCTTCCTGAATTATTTGCAGGTGTATAAAGCACCCACGACTCGTCTCTCTTAGTATTATAGTGGATTTATTTGGAGCATTTTTAGAAGTATCTTTTTAGTAGATGGCTTCACCCTCACGGGGCTCCGACTGATCTGCTGACCGGCGACCGCTGAGCTCAATCATCAAGTGGAGGAGCTAGACAAAAACGTGGGCAGAGTTGTTTAATGGCGATCGGATCAGACGCACTCCCCGTGCGTGCATGCATTGTCTTGCGTTTACACGTTGCGATGGATCATGTTTGATTTGGCACAGGAGTAAAGTGCACTAGTCCGGTGGACACGCGAGCCAGGTTGGTGGTTTTGACTCCGATCAGCTTGACACACACCTCGAGCTCCACCTTGCGAAAACTAGAATGTAAGGCCCCGTTTGACACGGTTTTAGCTCGTGAAAAAACAGCTCTGGCTCTGGTCCATATGAAAAAGTAGCTTTTTTTGGCTCTGGCTTATTTATACGAAAACGTTTGGTAAAACGGCTTCTCCTAGTTGTAAAGAAGATGTCAAATGTCCAAAATATCCTTATATTTTTTTTCTCTTTTTTCTTTTTTCTCTTCATTTTTTTTCTTTTTCTTTCCTTCTCCCCTTCTTTTCTTCTCCTTATCCGAACGGCCACACTCCTTATCCTGTCACCCACTCCCTCCCTCCCCTCTCTCTCTCTCTCTCTCTCTCTCTCTCGGGCATAGCAGGAGGCTGGCGGGGGAGCTCGAGGTCGGCGGGGGGGGGGGGTGGAGGGGCAGGAGGGAGAGGTGAGGCAGTGAGGGAGCAGGAGGAGGCGGGGGGAGCTCGAGGGCGGCGGAGTGAGGAGAGGAGAAGCACGCTGGGCGGAGCTCGAGGGCAGGCATGGCACGGGGTCGGGGAGGAGAGCAAGCCGGGGACAAGGATGGAAAGTGTGGAGGAGGAGCCGGAATAAGCCACATTTTTTGGCTTCTGGCGGGCGGAGGAACTATCTCACCGCATTTTGTGGGGCTTTTGCTGGCTCCCGGTCGCAAGCCGTTTTGGGCTCAAGCGTTTGGCACGGCTTCATCAAAAACCGCTCTAGAAGCTGCTCGATGAGCCGTGCCAAAGGGCCCCTAAATGGAACACAATGTAATAACCGGTGAACCAGTTATCCTATATATATATATATATATATATATATATATATATATATATACATACCGTACGGACGCCATGGGCATGCACGGAGGCAACTGCTCCATGGCGCCGACTGTTCGAATAGAGGGAGAGAGAGGAGCGTCCATGCGGTTCCCAGGAGTGGAAGAGTAGGAGCGGTTTCCCTCCAGATGAGATCACTGTAGTTGTAACACACCTCACCCTCAGGGCCTCACGTCTTCGTCACCCACAGCATTCACCAGACTACACATAGACTAGTTGCAGTCAGGGCACTAGCTAAAAGTCAGGCGCGTCTGTCTGTCAGGTTTAGTGTCAAAGCGGCAACCGCGATGGTTGGTTGGTGCCGGCTGCGCCTACCTCCGGCCGCCGCCGCTGCCCCGTGCCCGACGGGCGACGGCGCACTTTTTTAACAGAGGATGGCGTTGGCGATGGCGAGATGGTCGTGCACTCGTGCGCGTCGGCCAGCGTCGCCTGCCTGGTGTGCGCACCGGGTCGGAGGTAGAGCAGACAGGTAGAGCTACCGTCATCCCGGCCGCCCCATATTCTCCTCTCCTCCGATCCGTCCCGCGCGAGCGTGCATGCATATGTTGACGTGGCCGGGCCTGGGAGGTGGAGACAGGCGGACGGGAACGTGACGCGGCAAGTCAACTCGATCGACAGGGACCGTGATGGCGTGATGTGAATTGTGATGGCTGATGCGTTCCGATCCGTTCGATCCATCCACCACCAGCCTGGCGGCGACCTCAGCTGCGAGCACGCCGCCAAGACTGCGTGCCGGTGCCGGAAAAAGTTGCGAGGCATGGAGGCGGAGGCACGCGCGCGCCACTGTGGCCGTCCTCGTGGCGTTGATGGGCGTACAGTACAGGCACTGGCGCTGCTTTATTTTCTCTGTTTGTGGAAGAAGCTACCGAATGCTGCCTGGTGCCTGCGAGTGCTGTACGAGCACAGCGCACGCTGTTCCGATTCTTGGTTCAGATACGCATCGGAAATGCTAGCAGCCAAAGCCTCTTTCGTGCTAGCGTCTTCAAGTAGGATGAGCCGTCCGGTGTCACGCCCCGGAATTAATAAAGGGGGGACAGCAAGCAACATCCAATCCAATAAAAGCATGACTGCATTAGCTAGCGTTTCGGATGTGCATCCTGGGCGTGTTTAGTTGGCCGGAATTTGGACGTACAAAGTTTGCATAGTGTCAGATTTCCTATTATAACATTTTATTTGTATTTAATAATAATTGTCTAACCGTTGACTAATTAGGTTTAAAATATTTGTCTCGTCAAAGTACAACCAAACTGTACAATTAGTTTTTAATTTCATCTACTTTTAGTATTCCATGCATGTACCATAAATTTGATGTGACGGAAAATCTTATTTTTTATAGTGACAAAGTTGAGAACTAAACAAGGGCCTGGCCTATCATCGAGCATTCGTCCACCAAAAAGATGATTGGATTGGATAGGAGAATGATGTCAGTGAAGAGAAATGAGAGGATTCTGGGGCTTGTTTAGTTGGCGATTTTTTTTTTTAGAAAATGGTATTGTAGCACTTTTATTGTTATTTAGCAATTCATGTTCAATCATAGTCTAATTAGGTTTAAAAGATTTGTCTCGTGAATTTTGTCTAAACTGTGTAATTAGTTTTATTTTTTATTTATATTTAATGCTTCATATATGCGTCAAAGATTCGATGTGACGGGAAATCTTGAGAAATTATGCAAAATTTTGGCAACTAAACACCACCTCCGATCCTGGGGCTCCTGCTCCTCCATGCTCTACCTAGCTAGCAGCTAGTTCAGCTATGGTTGATCCGTGTGCGTCCTCGCTCACTAATCAGTCATCACCCCCTAACCTTTTCGAACGAAATCTATGCCCCCAAACCACCCGCCATTCCTTTTTGTTTTCGTGTAGTTTGTGTATCACTCCAACAGCTGACAGCTTATCTGCAAGGGATGACGACGACCGAAAGAGAGCTACGAGCCTACGACACCTGCAAGCGTAAAGAGACCACTGCAATGCAACCAAACCTACAGTGCCAGTTGGTTGCTTTAGGGAGATGACCTCTCACTCATCCCTCCACTGTACAATCCACATCTACGTGCATTTGGCTGGATTGAACTGGAAAGCCAATTTGTGCAGCGCTACCACTTCTTGTTGGATGCATGCATCGCTTTCCGACGGCTTGAGTTGAGCATCGGGAGAATGTGAGATTGAGAAGACACCGAGAGACGCAGATATGCGAGATGGAAACCTGACCGAGTGAACCGAAAGGAATGGCTCACTCACTTGCCGAGATGGCGACGCTGGTGTTGGCGGTACAAAGCTCTATAGCGTCTTCACACTTTCTCTCACATCGGACAAGGACTATACAGGGCATCGTGAGCTTAACACTTTCTGTTGGGTCCATTGGTCCTAACGACCGTATGACTATGTGAACAAAATCGCGTTCAGACGCACTCAAAGTTGATCCAGTGGCTAGGAAAAATCGAACATCTGAGAAATTAGGACACTTCAAATAGTCGTCGTTTTTTTTTTTACCTTTGGGGAATGCTATGTCAGTATTGTTTATTGTCAATTATTTTGATACAAGTGACGACTTTAGTGCTCCTCCTGCCGTCGCCGTTTGGTACGGCTCCGGGGCCGGAGCTGCCGTGGAGCCGGAGTTGAAGCGCGACCAAACATGCCTGAAGTATACTTTTTAGAGCTTTTGCCATTGAAAATTAAGACTTGCCTTCATTGCCATTGAATTGTATTTTTATTTCCCTTATATACCACTGACGCATGAAAATAAGTTAGATGGATGTTAGAGCATGGAGGAAATGACAGTTATATCCTTGTCATTAATGGAGGCATATCCCAAAAAATATAGAGATTTCCTTTTCATGCCAGCATCACTTAGATAGTATCGATACATGTACTTTGAACATTGTACAAATCAGACAACACTTAATTTAGCACATATATATAATTTAAATATGCATAGCAATATGATAGCATCACATTTTTAATTCAAATATACACAAGTGTTTTCTCAATTATATTGCTTATGCATATTTGAATTTATAATACATGTAGCGGTATATATAAATTAAAAAAACATCTAGATGTAGCGACATATTTGAATAAAAAAATACATATTTTTTTTTTGTGGGAAAATACACATACTTAAATTATATTGTGTATATTTAAATTTAAAATGTGATGCTATCATATTGCTTATGCATATTTAAATTATATACGTGTGCTAAATTAAGTGTTGTCTAATTTGTCCAATGTTCAAAACAACATGCAGTGATACTATCTAAGTGTTGCTGACATGGAATGGATATCTCTAAATTTTTTTGGTTATGCCTCTACTGATGACAAGGATGTAATTATCATCTCCTCCATCTTCTAACATCAATTTAACTGGTTTCATGCGCCAATGGCATATAAGAGAAAAAAATACAATTTAAAGGCAACAAAGAAAAGTCTTAATTTTCAATGCCAGATAAGAAAAGGTTATAAGTTTCAATGGCATTCGACAATTTTTCTCATAATAATAGGACCAGCTTCCTTCGAAGGCTTCCAATCATAGCTTGGATCCAAGAAAATGTAACAACTCCTGCCAAATCTGAGACACGATCAAAACAGTGGTGGTCGTGTCTCGCTTGGGCCGGCCCGGCTGGCACGCGTGGGGTGCAGACTGCGGAGGGAGGGTGGGCGAAGTTGCAATGCTCACCTCCTTGACATGTTCGCTTTCACCTGATTTCTTCCCCTTCGAAGCGCCGCCCACCTCGATCGCCATCTGCGCCGCCTCGGCATCTCCGACAAGCTTTGTCCCCGCGCCCTTGGGATAGCGAGCGAGCGAGCGGCTGCAGCGCGCGCTTCCTCGCCGGACTCATCGACCTGTGTGTGCTCCTGTTCGTGCACCACTGATGGAGATTGCATCAGGGAAATTGGCTCCGGAGCTGCCTCAGGATATCCTGATGGATATATTTTCCTCCTCGAGATCCCTGACCTCGCTCGTGCAGGCTCCGTCTGCTCCACCTGGAACTCCGCGTATACCATCATACGTGACATCGGGCAACAGAAGCAGCCGCAGACACCCTGCCTCCTCTACACCTCAGAATCAGCTGGTGAGAATGTTGCTTGCCTCTACAGCCTTGCACTAAGTCCAGACACAAAATGTGCTGAAGCAAAAGCTAGGGGATCGCAAACAAGACGTAGAATCCGGAGCCTGCGGCTTTGGATAGTATCAAGGCATTCTTTGCCGCACCGTTGTTGCCCTCCAAACAGGAGGTCCTTCAGGCGCTGTTTGCTCCAAATTTCGATCCGGTGGCCTGGGGGCTAAATCTCAGTAACTTCGAGCACGACGTTTTTTAGCCGCTGAGTTCAGAGCCAGTTGTGTTTGTCCGCTTGTCACTTTGTAGTTCCTTTTTCTTTAATCACAGCTGTGAGCTCAGTCGGTTTGTGGGGTTTTTTCGGTTCGGTAACCTCAAATTATCATCCCAGCTTTAATTTGTAAAACTCTTCTTCTACTTAATGAATTCTGTGTCGATGGCACGTTCGAGAAAAAAGAAAAGAAAAGAGGGCCTACAGATTAACCCTGCCTGAGCCTCCCATCCATCGAAGGTATCTGATCGGTTCCTCACATGGCTGGGTGATTACTGTCGACGAGCGGTCAGAGATGCACCTTGTCAATCCAATCACTTGTGAACAAATCACACTGCCTTCTGTGATCACTTTTGAGCAAGTGGCACCCATCTATGACAGTACTGGTGTGATATGTAAGTATCATTACTACTCAATGAGCGACAACACCAGGTCAGTTACTAGACCGCCAGTGACACTTGCTCTTTGGCAGCTGAGGTACCATTTGCATCATAAGGCACTTTTGTTTTATGATGATGCATCTGTAGGAAGCTACATTGTAGCGTTCATCCACAATCCAGGTGGTCAGATTGCATTTGCTAGGTTAGGTGATGAGAAGTGGACACGGCTGCCATCTCACAAATATTTTCAGGACTGTATCTACAAGGATGGTCTACTATATGCAGTGACATCTTTTGGTAAAATTATCGCCTTCGATCTTAGCGGGCCTATGGTCACGATGAAGATAATTGTGGACAGGGTAAATAATTTTTCTGGTATGGAAAGGTTTTACATTGTTCAGGCTCCATGGGGTGATCTGCTGCAAGTGCGGAGACCAGAAGTAGGGATAAAAGAAGAGGCGGATGGGCATCAGCACCAAGCGACATTTGAGAACAAAATCAAGTGGATGGAGATATATAAAGTCTGTGCTGTGACAAGAAAACTAGTGCAGATAAATAACCTGGGTGATCATGTATTGTTTCTCCGGAGTAACCAGTCACTGTGTTGCCGTGCTAAGGAATATCCACAGCTGAAACCAAATCATGTCTACTTCACTGATGATGTTAGCTGTGTAGAATTCACCTGCAAGCGGGGCTACCGACTAAACATTGGAGTCCTTGACTTTGGAAGCAAGCGCATGGAAGAAATCATATTCCCTCGGCCTTGGTCGAATTGCCTGGCACCGTTGTTCATCATACCAAATCCCAGGAAGATGGATTTGGCATTGCATATTTAGATGCAAGTATTACTGTATCAGCAGGGTCTCTTTTGAAGAAGCGAGTTTTCATGGCTGAGTTGTAGCTTGTAGCCTTGTACTGAATCTTGGGTTTTGATCCTAAAACCCCTTTGTGAACATGCCTTTAATTCATCTTCTGTACTTATCAGCACCTCTTTTCCTTGGTTTTAATAATTTCGCAAGGTACTAGTACTTGTGTGCAAATATAAAGATCGTTAAAAGACCGTAAAACGATCGATAAATTTTCAGCCGAAACGATATTTTCTCTCACATCAAACCAAAGTAAAAAAGTAATAATTCACGATCTACGAACTAGCAAGAAAACTGCGTACAAAAAAACGTGATCTCAGTCAGAAGAAAATGTTACCAAAAGGCGCATTCTGTAAAAAAAAAAGAATGTGTAGCTGTAAAAAACAAACTCAGGCTGTGGTAAGGACTTACTTCCTCCGAACCTATCCCGCATTTTAGAGGACTAATCCCCAAACCCCAAACCTCATGCCCCGGACATTGTGGTCCCACATTTGATGAGAGGGCCGGTCCATTTTAGAGGACTTTTCACCTAGCCTGAGAAAATCCCCAAACCCCATGCCCCAACACTGTGAGAGGGTGGTCCATTTTAGAGAACTTCTGTTGAGAACCCCCAAACCTCATGCCCCTTACGGGGGGCCTATTACTGGTGAGACCTTGGTCCATTTTACTTGCTTTGGAAACACGGTCAAGAGGTTTTTTTGCACACCGCTGACCAAAAATTCGTCCGACCAAGAATTCGAACTCTAGTCGTAGGGGACACCACCTGGAGTCTTGACAAATGGTCTATGGCATGAATGTGTAGCTGTAGATAGCCTGAATTGCTCCGTTTGTTCTTCCAATGCGATGGGCCGGTGAACGCATAGCCAGTTTCTGCTGATTGAGAACATACTAGTGGGCCTAGTCGCCTTGTTACTGGCCCGAGTTGTTGCAAAGGAGTCCGAGTGTACAACGATGTAAGCCCAACCCACGAGTCCGACGCCAGTACAGCATCGATGATGGAGCACCTCCCTCCTTCCCCCAGCGCCTTGCATGTCCGAGCCCACCAGCAACCATGGCCGCGGGCCGCCCTTCACCCTGCCTTCAAACCCTGCCATAATCCCATCCATCATTCGGTCGGTCGGCAGTAGTAGTAGCACCAACCGTTCGATGAGGCTGACACGCGCCATGGACACATCATTGAGACCTCAAATTTTACACTCCATGGCACCGACCACCACTTATCTTGGTTCCAGTAATAAACCACCCAACCACCCAGTCAAAAAAGCACGACACAAGCACGCACGGATGTTGAGCCCGTTCGTTTCGGCTGAAACGATCGTGGATGATAAGCCAGAAGTACTGCTGATTGGTTTAGTGTAAAAGAAAAATATTGTTCCAGCTTATAATCCACGATCGTATAAGTCCAACCGAACAGGCTTGTTGTGTCTCTCGAGATCAAGTCACTCCCCCTGTCAATAAAAAGTTGCTGTTTGTGCTGCTTGCGTTGGTATATGTCTCTTGAGATCAGTCACTCTCCCTGTCAATAAAAAGTTGCTGTTTGTGCTGCTTGCGTTGGTATATGACTATATGTCTCATCAGTCATCAGTCGTTATATCGAGATGAGGCCTCTGGGTTAAGAGAGGCCTCTGCCTGTGTTTAACAAACAATGCAAGTTAACCGATCCACGACTTAATAATGTGCGGTTACACCTGCTCACTCACCTGATTGCATCAGTCATCAGTCATCAGTCGTTATATCCAGATGCTTTGCGCTACGTTTGGTAACCTGCTGTGTCTGCTGCTGAGCCCATGATGAGCGGCGTGCGCGGCGCTTTGCCTTGCCTAGCGTGACCGGGATGTGTCACCCGATGCACGGGACAAGGAAGCAAACAAGCGCCAAGGTCCGGGTCCAGCACAGTAGTGTCTCTTCAAAGGCATCTCAATATCTCATTATCTATCGAAGTTTGGATCCCAATCCAAAATGTAAACAAGACTTTGGTTAGGCCCATCCAGATCTCATGTCAAATCGTTTATATGGATATTTGTCTTGTTGCCTTGGGTCTCTCGGCCTTGTTTAAATGCACGGTGTAAAATTTTAGAGTGTCACATCGGGTGTCATGTAGGGGTGTCGCATAGGGTGTTTGGATACTAATAAAAAAACAAATTACGAATCCGTTCAGTAATCCGCAAGACGAATTTATTAAGCTTAATTAATCCATCATTAGCGCATGTGTTATTGTAGCACCACATTGTCAAATCATGAACTAATTAGGCTTAAAAGATTCGTCTCACAAATTAATCGTAAACTATGTAATTAATTATTTTTTAATCTATATTTAATACTCAAACATTGTATGAGATAGGGAGTAGCAACAATTAATGGCGGCACAGAGCGCACGTCTGGGAGAGACACTATTGACGTACCGTGGTCGCGTTTCATATTTAGAAATCTTGGCTTGCAGGTGCAAACAAACACTTGCTGGATGGACTGCAAGGAAGAACACTGCTAGGGTTAGGGTACAACTCACTCCAATTCACAACACTTGCTCATTTCCAAATAAAGCATGAACAGATTGATCAGGATTCAGGCAGCACCAGTGACGGCACGGAGTCACCACTCATGAGCTGAGCTGATTAGTACACAGTGGTTTGCGCTAATTATTACTGCTGGTAATCGAACCAGCGCAACCACTAGCCGGATACTATAATTTTCAGTTCACCAGATCGCAATGCTTGGAATTATTATTAACGCCGCGACCACTACTTAACTGGATCCCACCACCACAATGGAAGTGTTCGACAACAAGTACGTACTAGTGCTCCTCCATTCTACCGTGCTTTTCTCAAGCGCTGCGTGCTCATAGCTCCCACACTAGCTGAGCCACCGAGGTGGTCACGCACGCACGCTTGTTCCGGGCCGCCGCCGCCCGCCGAGGGCCAGGGCATGAAAGCGACGACGTGGCGCGGCGCACCGGGGACCCTACCCGCCAGCGCCAAGAGGAAGAGGAAGAAGAAGGCGCCCGCGCCGCGCGGCTTCATGTGCGGCTGCGGCGGCACCAGGTCGGTCTCCGTCGACATCTCCGCTGTCACGACGATGCCGATGAAGAGAGACGACGTTTCAACGGCGGCAGCTTCTGCGGGGGAGCCAGCGTCGAAGACGACGGTGGGCTGCCGCCGCGACACCGACGACGACGCGAGCGCCGAGGGCACGCCCAGCGTGAACTCGCTGCTGCGGCAGCTGCGGGAACTGGAGCGCGGCGTCCGCGCGCTGGGCGTCCGGGAACGGGAGGAGGACGGCGACGGCGGCAGCGGCGCGGCAGGGACGACGACGACGACGACGGCGAAGGCAAGGCCGCCGTCGCGGCCGGGGCACGCGCGGAGCGCGAGTGTCGTGGGGCGGCGGCTGGACTCCGAGAGCGTGGCGGTGGTGACGGAGTCGGCGGACCCGCTGGGTGACTTCCGGCGGTCGATGGCGCAGATGATCGTGGAGAACGGCATCACCGGCGGCACCGATCTGCGGGAGCTCCTGCGGAGGTTCCTCGCGCTCAACGCCGCGTGCCACCACCAGCTCATCCTCCGCGCCTTCGCCGACGTCTGGGAGGAGCTCTTCGCCGCCGCCGCCGGCCACACGCGGCACCCTCGCACGGCGGCAGCGGTAGTAGAGCTAGCAAACGTCACGCGGTCGCGCTGACACGTTAAGTTAGCCACCCACAGCCGTCTCGTCCGTCCAAAGTACAATGCAACCACTCTCCTCGGGAATTGTTGCTGTCCGTGTCCAAAATACGTACATGAACATGACATGGCCTGCACGCTTGGCTTTCTGCGCCGTCAACAGAAAATCTGTGACTTTCATTGCGATTTCGTACAGATCATACGTAGCTTCCCCCGTGATTTTTGCATGGTCGTGCTGTACTGCAACACCGCTGATTGACTACGCGTGGTACGTCGGAGGAGAAGAGAAACAGGAATTAGTCGCAGCAGCAGAAGAACATGGTGACTGGTGAGGGCGTGAGGCGATGAAGGGCTGTTCGTCTGGAGAGGTCAGGTAGCAGGCAGAGGGCCGGGCGCGAGGGGAATGCCGTGATCTTCGCGACGCTGCCCGTCGGCAGGACGCAAAAGCGCGACAGCGACGAGACGACTCTACCGACCTGAACCTCTTTGCCTTTCGCCGATGGCGACGACTGACGAGCAGGGGCAGGTGATGGATACAGCGTCGGCGGGAGGAGGAGCAGCCGGCGCAAAAGAGACGTGCGCACGGAGCAGCAGGTCGGTCGGACTCGCTCGATCGGTGAGACATCGATTCGCGGCGTATTTGCCATTGCCGGCGATGCCAAGGAACATTTCGCTGTTCGTCTGACGTCGTCGCAGCTCTTAAAGCCACGGTAAGTCTGCACGACGCATCCGATGTGCGAGCTCTGAAAGACGCATTTGATGCATGATATAGACGTCCACGTACTCGTGTGTACATTCCGGAAGTCAATTATATAAGAATCTGATGGATGCGTCCAAAAAGCTCCCAGGTGGATCCCGTGATTGAAAGTTGGAAACGGCTATAATTTCAAAAAAAAAAAAAAAGGTTCGAAACGGCTATACTGGTAGTTACAGATTCATTCCATGCTACTGCTGGAGTACAGTATATTACCACTGACACTGGGAAAACCGGATTATATTGCCAGCTTCCATTGAGGTGTTGACTTTACTATTCTAGCTTTGTTAACTCTCGTCGGTCGGTGCTCCAGCACGGCTTATCGTCTCATGAATCAATCTTATACGATCCAAAGTTTGTCTTCACAAAGGAAGACATTCTATCACTTTTCAGCACTATATTATTGATATAGTGTGTAGCACCATTTAACACTGTTCATCAATGTTTCTTAGTGGTTATCTAGATAATTTGCTTCATCACCGATAAGGTCATAAAAATCCTATGGTGTCTTTTTTTCATATGACAAAGGTGGTAAGTCGTAAGTGTGATCTGGATTCATCATGGCACGTGGCTGATTAGACAAGGCAAGTGTGATCTGGATTCATCACGGCGCATGGTTGACTGAGTCTGACGGGTTTGTGTTCAAGGGTTGCATGGCGTGGGTCGTCACACCAGCGGGCCTGAGTTACTTCGTGGCATGTGGTTTGATTCACAGATTTGGGAGTTGGAAAGCGTCACCATTTGTTGAAGGCTATGGATTGTTGTCGTCGTGGGCACCACCGGAGGAGAGTCCCCGACGACTATGGTAGCATCGTGACACCCAGACAAATCTTGACAATGTGCACCTGGGTGCCCATGGAGAAGATTACTCCGGCGGTGGCGACGAACAGGAGCGTGAAGCAAGGGCCACCAGCGGTAAAAGCCATGGACACGCGTGGTAGTCCAGGAGGACAATGAGGCGATGTGCTTCAGGCAATGCACCATATGGAGATGTGGTGTAGAAGGGAGGATGGCGGTAGGCTGGCGGCCCGCGATCAACAGAGGCCGCGAGCTGGCACTTGATTTGAACTCAGGTGGCCACGGAACGGCAGAGGAGATGGAGGGCATGTTTGGAAGGGTGGTCCGTCGGTCCGGCTGAGTTCCCGGCGTGCAACTTCATCTGTTCAGTACCTTAGGCCCACCAGCGAGCCAGTCCCAAACCGTGCAAATCACCCTCTCTCTCATGGCTCCTAGGAAACGAGATGGACCTTCGTTTCTTCTCAGCCCGGCTCGTTGAAGCGCGTCGTGTGCTCGCGCGTGGAGATGGAATCACCTCCCGATTCCTCCTCTCTCACCCACCGCTCCCTTCTTCTCCGTTGTTGTCCGCACGCGCGTCCACACACTGTTCCGTCTCCACGGCCGCCTCCTCCTCCACGACGCCGCTCGAGGTCGACTTGCTCATCCTTGCCTCCTGCTTCTTCTTGCCCTGCTCCCGCGCCGTCTCAGACCGGCTCCGCCCGTAGTGCGCCGCCGCCTGCTGCTTCTTCTCGTTCATCTCCTCTGTCTCGGCGGCGTGGAGGTCGGGTTCGAGGTCGCCGGGGCAGAAACGGTACAGGCTGAAGGAGCGGTGGTTGTCTCGGTCGCGTCGAGTGGCGTGGGCGGAGTCGTACGCGGGCTGGTTGTCTCTGCCGCCGTGCACGACAACGACGACGCCGAGCACGAGGTCACGGTCACGTGCCACGGAGCTCCACGACCTGGCTGTACAGGTCACGCGCTGCTCCCGCCCCCAACACCAATGCCGGTGAGCTCACGAGGAACGCTGAGCTCACGGGTGGCCCCGGCGCTTGCCACGGCATGAACAGCGCCCTGGTGGCCGCGTCCATCGCCATCGGCTTGTGCGGCTTCTTGGGCCGCGACCGCGGCTCCTGCGGTTCCCTCTGCCTCCTCTCTCCTCCCTATCTTCTTCCTCCTGGCCTGCAATGGCGTTGGAGAACGGTGGCGGCGGCTTCTTGGCCGAGGTGGGTGAGTCTGCGTTCCCCATGCCGCTCGCCCTGCACGTGTTCGATGAAATGGCAATGACAATGTTTGGAGGGTAATGTTACCACGTTCTGAGTCAAGGGTCACCGCATTCATCTGTACAGGCAAAACAAACACGATCTGAATCGAGCTCGGCTCTGCTGGGCCACATTTCCAAACACTAACACTTGCACCATTTGGACTGGACTCTGGCGGGCCATGGCTAGCCAACCAGCCAGGACGGAGAACAACGGGCACTCTTGTTAATTTGCGCCAACATCGTCATAGGCTTACAAAGTGGTACGGTCCAGGCAGAAAAAAAGAGTATGTCTACCCATATTGGGGTGTTTTGCCCCAACCCACACCCGATTTTTTGGTAGGTACTGTTCATCTTCTAGCTCCGCCGATGTCACTGTTCATCTTCTACCTCCAACCAACTGCCGCAGCCCACCGCCCTTGGTATAGTTCATCTTCTTCCTTGGCACAAATCACAAATCGCAAATCACAAATCACAGATCACAAGTTACAAATCACATATTACAAGAAACAATTTTTTTTCTATGGAAGGACAAGGACAAAATTTAGGGGAGAGTCTCGCCGGAACAGCCACCGCCGCAGTCGTCTCCGGTCGGCACAGATCATCGGAACCTGCTGCTGCCGCCGCCGGAGGGGAGGGAGGAAGGAGCCGCGGGCAAGAGGGTCGCCGAATCAGATGGCTCCACCGCGCCGCGGATCCGACGAACAGAAAATCATGTGCCGATCTAAACAAAAACACACGGGTGTATATATAGCATTTCGGAAAAAAAGAAACTATAATGGTAGTTAGTAGTATCTCATAACTTTAACTATATCAATTCGCGTACTATCTCAGTCCCAAAAGAATATCATTCTAAACTTAAATTAAATCAATTATTAAATTTCAATAGATTTATAGAGCATATTATCAACTTTTTTTTTATCCAAGTAGGTTCATTGTGACAACGTATTTCATGATTAATGTAATGGTACTTATTACACATTACAGATATTGATGTTTTTTATATTTGATTAAACTTAAGATTAACACATCAAAAAGAAAAGAACGACATTTTTAAACGAAGAAAGTATATATAGTAAGAACCCCTTTAGAACACAAGATTTTCACGGAAATCACACAAAATTTTCCTACAGAAATCACTTTATTAAATTTTAGAGAAATATAGAAAAATACAGGTCTAGATCATAATTCTATTCTCACATGGTGGACCTAATTAGGCTGAGGAATATTTACATATTTACCATTATTACGATGGGAGTGGTATAAAAAATACCATGTTAGTGACTCATGTATCAGTAGCTCAGTGTAAGATGACATTAGTGATTAGTGGTAAATATGTAAATGCCCCGTAGGCTAATCGTGTTTCTCACCTTTCTTCAGAAATGATCCAGACCCCTCATCCCCCACTGCACTCTAATCTCTATCCCCTCAGCAATGGACACCGTGACGCCCCTAACCGCCTCCCTGCTCCGCGTCCGCGGCCACCTCTTCCACCGCCGCCGCGGCCGCCTTCACGCCAAGCAGCACCCGCGTCCCCAGCGCCGCCTAACACGCACCGCGGGGCTACACTGTGCGCCGGAGCCGGACGGTGGCGGCGCCGAGGTCTCGGCCCCTCCCGCTTCTGCAGCCGTCGAGGAGCAAGCGCCGCAAGAGCGGCCGGAGGACTTCATGCTCCTCGCTGCCAACCGCAGCGACTTCAACGAGATCATCATGGTCATCGACTCGCCCGCCGCGCGGTACCTCGTCCTCGACCACAACAGTACGTATGGGTGGTTATTAACTGCCTACAGCTATTCAGTTTGACAGTAGGGCCTGTTTGTCTACCGGCGCTCCTAAAATTCCTATCACATCGAACGTTGAGACACATGGAGTATTAAATACTCCTTCCGGTTCTCTAAAACAAGTCGTTTTGAGGTTGTCTTAAATCAAATATTTTAAACTTTGACTACAAATAATTTCTTTTGGGTTGAGTTTGAAAATATGAAAGTGATGTAAGTAGATTCATCTCGAAATGTAGTTTCATAAAAGTATATATTGACTATATTTTATAAATATTTTATAGCAAAAAGTAGCGGTCAAAGTCGTTTCTTAAAGACCGTGTCGATGTCCAAAACGACTTGCTTTAAAGAACCGGAGGGAGTATAGACTAATTACGAAACTAATTACACAACTTACGACTAATTTGCGAGACGAATCTTTTAATTAGTTTGCTGATCAGTCGGAGCTCAGTGTTTGGTTGTGTCGTGCAGGGAATATCCACAGCATTCTCCCCAAGACAACTGTTTGGACCAACTCGTACTGGGTATGCACACTTGACACTTGCTTAATTACTTATCTAAACCGACCTGAAAATTTTAAGACCCGAGACTTGGACAACCATTCACTAATAGAATACTGTACCGTTTTGTACATTACTCACCAATCTTTTCAAGCCCCTTATAGGCAATAGTAGTTTGATACTTGATAATGTGTTTATCTTTAGCCATTCGACACTAAGCACTTGATCAGAACAATACTAATATGTTGATTCTCCTGTCTTGTAGTATCATCAATCATATATAAGTTAAGACTGGCGAGGAATTTCTTGGTTCATGTCAAAACTAGTGAGGGGTTTCTCAGTGAACGAACTTATATGTTTTAGTAACTCTTTGGCTTGCGTTCCTTTTCTTTCTTAGAATCATTGTTTTACACTGATGCTTAATTATATATAATCTGCTTTTGCCTTTTCTTAATGCAGGATGAGTTTGTGAGCCTGCCAGCTATTGTTCCACGGGGTCCTGTTGCACTTCTAGGTTTGGTAAATCACTTCATGAGGATAATTACAACCTATTTTTCCTGTCAGTCATAGTTCATATTTTTTTTCCAGCAAAGCTACTGTACATTAGGCAAAATCCTAGCATGCTCATGGGGAATGGGGGATGGGATGTTTTCTGTCTTCTTCTGAGAATGATTTACCATTTTTTTTATTTTTTAGGGCATATGATTTACCATTTATAACCAGACTTTACATGAGTAAATTACATTCTTTAAGCTCAATAAGCGATTTCTTTAGGGAAAAACCTTACCTACTTATTTTCATACTCTGCTCTTCACTCCTGTGAATAGTCTGTGCCTAATGACTGTTTCATTTCCCTGTTTCTTTCAGGGTGCTGGGACCGCAACACATCTGATGCTAAAGTTCTGGCCTTGGTTACAACTTATTGGCTGGGAGATCGATCCTATGGTGACAACTCTTCTCATTAGTCACTTTTGTTCTGTTTTCTTATTGATTACACTGCTTAAGTTTTTGATAATTTTACCAATTTCAACCATGTGAACGCTATGTTATCGACTTGTCAGTTGTCACAAGAACATTAGTAATCTATCCTTGGTTATGCTCAACTTATCTTGCAGCCTTATCTATTGTGCTTCATGCACATGCTTTTCATGTACCCAATTTTCATATTGGAAAAGCTGATTGTGTGTCATGACAGATAATTGAATTGTCAAGGGATTATTTTGGTATGTCTGATTTAGAGAAGGCCACAGAATCAGGTGGTTCACTTTCGGTGCACATTGGTGATGCACTTTCTCCATCAGCTACAGTTGAAGGAGGATTTGCTGGTGAATAACTAACCTGATGTGAATGGAATATATATCTTGCACTTGTACCACCTTACTCTTTGAGTACATAATTTGATTTATCTGTGGTTAAATTGAAGTGCTATTCATCCTGCAGGAATTGTTGTAGATTTGTTTTGTGATGGAAAGGTCATACCTCAGCTACAAGAAGTAAATATCCTTTTCCATCTCTGTTACTTCTTTTTATTTTTGTTCTGTATCCAGTGATGGTTAGCATATCGTACCTTTGAGAATTATTTTCAATCCTATAACTCGTAAACAAAATTAAGTTATATAATGGAGTTATGAATCACTTATAAGAATATATAGCTCTTTTCTGAACTAGATGCCTGGATGATTGTTTTATGGAGCTTCATTTATTCTACCATTGTTTACTGTGTGCTAGTTTTATTTCAATATTGATACAGGCTGAAACATGGTTGCAAATTGCAAAAAAGCTAATGCCAGATGGTCGAATCATGGTAAATTGTGGTGGAGGAGACACTGAAGAATCTCTTTCATCGTCTTGGGTTCAAAATCCTACAGTTAAAGCACTCTGTTCTGCATTTCCTGGGCAGGTATGATACCATTCATCAGCCATACACGTATTCACACTTCAATTGCTAAAGCCACTTATTTTCAACTGCTAGTTTGCTACTAGTTGGTGATAAAATAATCTTTAACCAGTAATTTCTAAACTATGCATTAGTTTTGTGCTTGTTGTTTTGTGCGCTTATCACCTTTTCTCTACACCTCTGTACTGTTATCATTTTTCCTCTGCATTAAATATAATGCACCTTTATTATCATCAGTGATGTATTATTAAATTTTATGGGTAACAACGTGATTTTTAGGAATCCGCTTTTGTTAAAATGCAAAAAACCTGTACTTCATGTGGTAGCCTACCATGAACTTTGCTAAACTGTAAAGATATAGAAGCAGCATTCTAAACTCTTGTAGAATAAGGGAATTTTTAGCATTGGATGCCAGTTTCTCGAGATCTGTTTAAACCAGTTATCTTATGAGCAATTGAACACTATTGTGCCATTCGTTGTCTCTAGATTGTTTTGCTAAAATGAAATGGTGTTGAATTGCAGCTTTGCTGGAAGAGACTATCGGAGAAAGAGAGTGTAAACTATGTTGCCCTGACGGGACCTCTTCCAGACCTGGACGAGTGGTCTGCCTCGGTTCCTAGTGAGCTAAGCACGAAGGTGAAACAATGGGTGCCATGCGATCTTGCGTGATGGAAGGGCATTTTCTTTTCTTCTAGTTGCACCTAATTTGCCTTAGCAACTTCTCCATGACCTCTGCGGCCTTCTCCAATCACCATGCCCCTTCAATTTCTGGTGAGTAAGCTCAACCGTCTGTGGGTGCCATCCACAGTGCTTTATTTCTGGATCTACTGGCGGGCTATGCAGCCATCCGGCACACTTGGAAGTCTTGTCGCTCGTCTCTTTTTACTTAAAGGTGTGTTTGTGGCATCATCTGCATCGGAGGCAGTATTGACCCCAGATGCTCATGGAATGGAATAGGTAAACATTGAGTTTTGTTACTGACCCTTGAGTGCAAGTACAACACAGGTAGCCAAATGGCAAACAGTCTCCCTAGTTGTTGAGAGAATCTGAACCTTGATAGTAGCTTAAACCAACTCCTATTCTTTTCTTTAGAGAGAGAGAGAGGAGAGAGCATGTAAAAGACAGAATTTTGCAGCAAGAAGATTGCAGCTCATACCGCAGAACATATTTTGTATCCAGGACATCAAGAAACGGTGGTTTTGTGCCCAGCACATTCCACTCGTTGATTTAGCCGTGTGGACACTACATATTTGTGGATTTTGTGTGCAACACACTGATCTGTTAAATTAAGTTTTCAAGTCTTGTAGAAGAGAGGACCCTGAATAAAAAGGCCAAAATGCCCTTGGATAAAACGGCCAAGCACAGTGTCACATGCCTGTGCAGCAACTTGAGCTATTGCGTGGGCAGCGCTGTGCCGTCGTTGGCATCCTCGCCGTCGTCATTACCGCGCGTGTGGAATGCAAAGTGACCGGGGATAACGACCATGCCAACAGGTGGGTCTCCGACACAATGGTGCGCTCGGCCAGCTACAATGCTCGCGCCGCCTGGTGGTGGACAAGCACAAGCTGCTGCTCCAGCGCGTTCCTTGCCGTCACGGCCTTGCTCCAGAGCGCTATGTTCATGGACTTGGCCATCTTGCTTTACTCCGTGCTGCTCCAGTGCAAGCAGGCCCGCTTCATCTGCTGGCTTGTGAGTCATGGCGTTGCTTCCGTTCTCCAGGACCATGCCCCGTTGAGGAGGCTGATAATGACATGACTAGATCAGGCTGACGAACGGTACGGTAAGAATGTAGCAACAACTGACTCCAACCACAGAATGAAGCAAGGGCAAATTAGTCCACTTAGCATGCCCTCGTTCCCTGTCAGGTCTAAAAGGCTCTGTTAACGCCGGCGGTGTGTGCTGCACCAAAACGTAGTTTCGAGAGTGTCCAAGTAACAAAAACAACGAGTGCGAAGTGCGATGTGCTCTGCACAAAACAGCACTTTAGCAATGTCCCGTAGACAAAAGGTCCTTTTGTTTTTGGTCATATGCTGCTGCTAGCACACATGCATGCCTTTGTGGTGCCGCAAAGTGACAAATTCATTTATGTGAACAGCTGTCCAGTAGCATTCACTGACAATGACTGTTCGTTTAGCACCCAACACTGATGGCGTCCTCTGCTGTTGCTGCGGATTTAACTGAATCTAAGCTCTGAATGCATGCTAGGTGTGCTTTGGACACCGTACATAAATTGTATTGAAAGTTCGTTAGGGTCTTGTTTAGATTCCAAGTTTTTTCACTCTTTTTCCATCACATCAAATCTTTGAACACATGTATGGAGTATTAAATGTAGATAAAAAAATAACTAATTACACAGTTTGATTGTAAATTACGAGACGAATCTTTTGAGCCTAGTTAGGCCATGATTGGACAATAATTATCAAATACAAACGAAAGTGCTACAGTGTCAAATACTGATTCTCAACCATCATCTAAACAAGGCACAGGTAAGTTTACAGTTGCAGGGTTAACATCTTTCTGATGTCATGTTGCTGTCGTCCTACTCCTACCTGCATATATATAACTAAAGAAAATGTAAGATGGTGTCACTACATCCGCCACGGTGCTTCTGACCCAACACTCGCCATTTCTGCCTCAAGCGCAAGCTCCGCCATCATCTCGGTCTTGCTGGCCTGCATCCCCGGGTGGCGTTTGGATGGTAGGAGGGATAGGGTAAGGGTTATGGACCGGGAAATATAGAGCTGGTTATGGACTGGGAAATAAAGGTTGGAAGGCAAATCCTTTGTTTGGATGAGATTGGGTATGTGTTTGGGTTTAGAAGGGGGACCCACGCCTTCTCTATTAAAAAATGCAAACCGTGGCATGTGAGGCTGTGAGCCCCCGGTCGATTTGCAAAAATGGGACTCGAAACATCGGTCGCTTGCAGATTTGACACTGGACCCATATTCATAGACACAGATGGATCCACTTGTCATCCAGCCGAGTGTCATCATAATAAAGGAGTCAATCTTTCAAGTGTCATTTTTGCAATTTTTTCGAGCCCATGACTCTCCCGACTCCCAAATCTCCCACCTCCCACTGACACGCCATTCACGTCGTGGGAGCCGTCGTCCGCCACGCTCACGCTCCAGGCAAGAAGCCCATTGTCCCCATTCATGAGCTCCTCGCCCCAGTCCCATCTCGCCATCCGCCGTCGCCATCCAAGCCCCTCTCCAGTCGCCAATCCCGTAGCAGCTGAGCTGCAATCCTCTCTGCCATTGCTTCGCGGGTGCGGATTTCAGTGCTGAATCTAACCACCTGAATGCAATCGACCTCCGGAGAGAGTGATGGACACCACCATACGGCGTCCCTCTCTGTATGGAAAGCGGCTGTTTGTTTCATCAGGTAAGTTTACAGTTGCGACGTTATATGCCAACTTGAGCCGGGATGTCAAGTCGCTGATCGATCTCCACGCCTTAATCGAGCTTCTTCGCAATTTTTGGTGGTCTCAGAACATCCTAATGGGCCAAAGTGGGCCCAAAACTAATCCAGTATAGGACGGTGACACTGTAGCAGAACACGGGCCGGTTACTGTAGCATCCGAACTCCGGGCAACTGTTCACGAGCACTGTTCATCCGAAAACTGGACCGACCGATTTCGGTGGGACTGTTCACGGGTTGCTGTAGCACGCGGAAAACACTGCCCAACCAGTTTAGTACCATACTGGAAACTCTGAGATCGCCGGATCGACTTAAATGGAGGGCTGTGGACGCGCGTAGTAACCTTCGGTTAACCGTTTTTGAACGAAATAAAAGCTTTGGGACGAAAGTTCAAAGCGGGTTGTTACGCTGGTCGGACCACTCCCTAGGAAGAGTGGGGTTTGCAGGGCCATGTATGTTTGGGTTCTTGGCTCGCCTCCTTTGCTCCAATCTAAACTATGCATTGCGATTGCTATCTGCCGGTGTTTCTGTTATCATTTTTTGCCACCGGCTAGTAAATTTCTAATATCGCGCGTTCGACCCAGATGGTGTCTTAAGAGGACACGAGGTTTATACTGGTTCAGGCAGAATGTCCCTACGTCCAGTTCGATGCTGTTGCTCGTGTTATTAGCACTGAAAGTTCATAGTAAGGGTTACAAACGGTCGAGAAAGGGATAGGTCCCAAGTCTCTAATGGGAGGAGTGAATGGGTGCCGAGGGCTCGGTCGCTTCTCGGCTGTGTGCTTTGTGTTCTAATCGGTTCAGAGTTTGAGTCCGAATCGGTGTGATGTGTTACGATGAGTACCGATGTCCCTTGTGGGACACCATGCTTTTCCTTTTATAGGCCAAGGGAAAGCACGGGCTACCGTGGAGGAAAGAGAAGAGAACGAGAGGAAGAAGTCCTTCAGGATCACCGGGTCCTTCTTCTCCTCTATGCGGGTCCCACAGATTCAGAGACGTCAACGTGCCCAGGAGCTTCGCCACGCCCGTGTCACAGTCACGCTGGCGCCATGTCTTGCCATGTGCGCTGCCCGTAAAACGGCACACCACAGTGTCACGGTCATGGCGCCCACCATCCCGCCAGATGTCGTGGTGGTGTGGCGCATCGTCGGTGTTGTTAAAGAGGTTAGGCAAAATAGCACCGCAGACGCTGCGCTGACATGCTGAGGAGGCTTCTCGACGTGAACCCCCCATGTATGGCCCGTCGTGGGTCGCGGGCTACATCGAGGTGTGCCAGTCTCTTCCCTGGCATCATAGCTTTGACCTAGGCCCCATACGCTTGGCCCGGAGTGGTTGGCGGCAGTATGTGTCTCTGCAGGCGAGGCAGAGCCCGGTCTGGCTCAATGAGGCGGAGTTCCTCCCCAGAGAAGGGGTGAGGTGGAGCCTAAACCCAAGAGTTGGGTGAGTAGAGCCAACTCTTACACTGAGCCCATGAGGGATTTCTGACGAGGTGAGTCCGCCTCGTGGGCACATGCGAGGCAGGAGCCCGCCTGCAGAGGTTGGGCGGAGTCCACCCCTCGGGTCTCGGGCGTGAGCCCGGAGCTCCCCATCATCTCGGCCTCGGTGGTTGGGCGAGAAGGAGCCGCACTCAGAGGTCAGGCGAGGCCAGAGAGCCCCTTAGAGCTCTTTGTTTGGAGAGATTCAGCCCGTGGCCTTGGTGTCGAAGCGAGGTGTGAGCCCTGCCCCAGAGGTCAAGCGAGGTGAGCAGGCCTCTGTCGAGCGAGATGGAGCCCTTGAGAGAGGCTCTGGGCGAGGTAGATTTGACCTCGGTGTCGGATGAGGAGCCATGGCCCTCGGTGTCTAGGAGGCGAGCCACCCTCGGGGCCCGGACGGCGAGCCACTGTATCCCGGGTGAGGGAGCCAACCGAGACGAGACGGAGTTTATGCACCTGGGGGGCGGTTGGCAGATTGACTACTCTGGACGAATCAATGTTGATGGTTGTTCTCAACTCTAGTATTAGTCCCCGACCGACACTATCCCTTTCGTAACCCACCTTTCCTATTGGGATAGATTAGGTGGGATGAGAGGCCATCCTATCTTAGACCTAAACCCCCACGGTCCCAAACCAATGAACCAAACATGAGTTATGCTGCTATTGAATTATGATACGCCTGTTCCATCCCTCGTATCCCATTGAACCAAACGCCAAGTGGCTTGTCTTCGAATATTCCGTAAGGAATGTTACTGTCACTGGACAGTTGAGCGTTAAC